TGTTGATTTTCTGATCCAGTATCACATGAGAACCCCAGCTTCTGGGATGCACATTGGACTTCTTAAGGATTGCTGTAGCTACCATGTGTAGAAGTTCTAAAAATTTCCAACTTCAGTGGAGCTAGGATTCCCCCAGATAGTTTCTTGTACTGCTACATAGTTATTTTAAATTTGCAACTGAAGTATATAGTGAAGGACATTCAATTTCTCACATAATCATGTTGGTCCTCTCTGATCTCCTTAGGAATCTTATTAAATCCACATTGTACATGATGCCAACAACAAATGATAAATTTTGACTTTTTCTGACTTTCTACGTTGGTATTTATATTTGCAGACATCATGGTTAAGAATATTTGATTATTCTGGTTTCTACCAAATGGAACTTAAACCTTATTTGTATATTCCTCACCCAAAAGTATAATAAATCCAAATAAAAGAAACACATGTTTTAAAAATAAGTAAATAATAATAGATCTGTGTCAATCAACCAACCAAAGAGAAGCAACTTCAATATACAGCTTCTTCAGAGATCCCCAGCACTTTTTTTTAATTTATTTATTTAAATTTTAATTTGTTCTATATGACAACAGAATGCATTACAATTCATACTACACATGTAGAGCCCAATTTTTTATATCTCTGGTTGTCCACAAAGTAGAGTCACATCCTGCGTGTCTTCATACATGTGCTTAGGGTAATGATGACCATCAGATTACACTATATTTCCTACTCCTATGTCCCCTCCTTTCCCATCCCTGACCTTTTGTCCTTTTCCCCTTTGCCCTAGCTAGAATTTCTTTAATCCTCCCACCACCATCCTCCCTCCCCCTTGCAGGATACTATGGATCAGCATCCTTAGCTAATCCAGCACTTCTTTATGCCTCTTTATAACTTCCTCCTTTTGTATTCTTTTCATAGTTCAGCTCCTTAAAAAATTTCAAAATAAATAAGTAATTTAATTTTATTGCCAATGATGAAGCCACAGTCATTAAAACAGAAATTGTAGTTTCATCTGTGCAGAAATAAAAGATAGCACTTGAAAAACTTGCATTCAAATCTATAATGTACATGAAAGACCAAGGTGACCTGGGAAGTAATAATATGTCTAAAGAACAAAGCTTAATGATGTGTTTCCCTAACTTAAAACAAAATTAATATAAACATCCATATGTAGAGGTTGAAAATCTGCCTTTTTAGGAGTTCTCAAGACTTCCTAAAGTACTTCTTGAGAAGCAACTGTGTTAGTTCTAACATAATCTGTTAATATCACCTGCAAAGTTTGTTCTGCAGGACATTTTAATTATTTGCAAAGTCTTCAAGAAAATTAAAATAAAGTGAACAATTTTAAAATTAGAACCTCTTAGTATTTTCTATAA